TAAAAAGGGACAGTATATTGTAGAACTATTTGAGGAGAACTCACTAATGACAAGGAATAATTCTGGATTAGCTCCAGAGCATCAACACAGGACAAGCAAACATTGTAAGATCTTTGTCGATAAAATCCTTAATGTGAGAGAGTAAATAGACCCTAGTGATTTTAGCATTAAAACATTAGCACTTAAAACATTAAACAGTAACTAAAAAAGGACCTCACACTTGCGGACATTATAAGAAGCATAAATACAAATCCTGCCTTATCCTAAAATTATACACTGATCACCTAAGTATTGACCATAGAACCTAACAAATGCACATTTAACAGCTAGTGACATATACAGTGAGTTAACCTTTATCTCTAAAACAAAGGTTTTTATACTTTACACTTGATAAAATCACTGCTGTTATTGCCACAAAGGCATCAAATAATGTCACCTTTTGTTTAAGACCAGTATAAATGTCAGTGATTCAGAATAGACTCCACTCCTCTCAAACCATTCAGGCAGTGTATGACGGTCCCCCCCACGTGTGCCCAAAGTACAATACTTTAGTGAGCTAATGTTAATAAGTTCATCTTTTTCAGTGATTATACTCTGATGTGAAAATGTGCCTAATTGCATCTAAAGAGAAGGAAATTAATCACCATCTGTCTCTCGGAGAAGTCGTGACACCCTGAATTATACACTCCATTGTAATTAGAAACAATACAACTATGACAACTGATCGCACTGTGTATTAATCCTTCTGACAATAGGGTTTAAAATTAGCTATTCACACGGTAAAGAGGGGGTGTTTGCATATTTGTCATAGTAGCAGTGGAGAAGCAGGAACATGCAGTAGTGCTGTTTCAAATTAAACAAAGTAACAGGCTGTTATTTGTGCATGTGTGCTGAATATTTCAGAAATACCATCATAAAGAACAGGACTTCAGAACAATGTCCTTTGTCGTCTTACTGTGTGAAGAAAATACTTGTATTCACAAACATTTGATTGTCAGTGACTTGCTTTGTTGATAGGTCACACAGATATGTGCAAGCACAGCTTATTGCTTCTTTAGATACTCTGACCCAAAGCTGAGTTCAGCTTATACTCTCTGGGAGACAACCCTCGCCAGCCCCTGATAAACACAGTGTACTGTCTCAACAGCATAACATCTCTCAATTTCAGACGCAAGCACCATTTCTAGCTTCAGTCTACCACTACTCCGTTTACATCTATACCTGTGAGCAGCTTGTTCAAACCATCATTTACACAGCTACTACTCCTGTGGTGTCATCCAAGTGTCCGTGAGCCACGACATTCAAATGCCCGACACAAAATGCCCATTATCCTCTGAGCCTAGAGCCATGTTCCCGCGCACGCACAAGCACAAGCAGGAGACGAGATCAGTGAGAACTCGCGATAGCTACAGTTACTGCTGGAGTAACTAGAAAACATTTTTTTACGTTTGAAGAAGTGGTCACCATTGGTCACGTTTTTGATATATATATATATATATTTATATAGAATATAGTAAAATAAAAAGACTCAAAACTGACGATACTCATCTTAAAATAGTCTCAGTCTAAATAAATAGGTTCATATAAAGTAAATAACTGTGGAAATGGTGCATTAATCAGACAGGATTTTACTTCTGCTGCGACTCTGACTACATTTAATTAGACACAAATGTTCTGACTATTGATCATATTTAGAATAAGACTTGTTGCAAATACAATATTCCATTCACATTTTAAAGAGCAAAGCCTGATAATGACTCGTATCATTAGTTCTGACGTAATTACAATTAACTAGCCGATGTTACCATTGTCACAACCCAGCTCACAAGAGTGTGATAAGGAGGGAGATGACAAATGTTGACGGTTGTGTTTACAGACATTTATTTAAACAAAACAAGATAGGAACCACAACACAACATGTGTCCACAGACAAAGGGATGCTGTTATCGGGAGAGACAACCTCGTCCCTCAGAGAGCGCAAGAAAGAGACACCAATGAGGCGGGGCCTTCTAATTTTGTAAAAGCTACAACTCCTTTTTATTTCTCCATCTTGTCTACACTTATAGATTTATATATAATATGACTAAGGTCAGAATACTCCACATGGATGAATCAATTATTGCTTGTGTCTTATTCAGACTTGTCGTGATTGTAAACCTAATCTCTGTTCCCACCATTGCACCACACATTACTTATGCTTAACTCATGAGCAACACTTATAGCTCAGGAAAGTCGACTTACCATATTTATTGATGACACTGGTCCAATGCTGTTCACAAAGATGTCGACATCTACGACAGTTGGTTTAACTGTGGAGAAAAAAGAGCAACATAATTATAAAGTACCATTGAGGTGCCATATCGTTTGTAAATCAATGAGAGGCAAAGTGAAACCAAATCAATGACTTTGTTGGACAGAATCTTTTGCAGAGTGAGTGAAACAATCTTCAGCATCAAGATATCATTAATATCATATGATGAGGAATGATGGGTTGATCTAAAAAGGCTGCTGATCATGTCCAGTTAAAGTGAATCCATTACTATTTTGTGACTTTGTTATGACATCAGGATTCATGCCTATATGTATAATCTTTAGGTCGTGTGTATAGTCCTATAAGATGCAGAGATACCTAGAAAAATGTATTTCTGAAATATCTATTTTCGGACTTTTGTATGACTTCTTCATGGCATCACTTGTATAATGTCATAAGTTGTACAATCATTTTCTGATCAATATTTGCTTAAACAGAGATATCTTGGAAAATGTGATTTTCAGGCAGTTAGTTTTTCTTGACCTTGTGCCTCGGCTGATCAGCTCTAAACTGAGGTCATGCTGCCAGTCGGACACAGAGCATCCCTCTGCTGTCAAATTAGAGTGTGGATACCCGAGCTCAACTCATCGAGACCAAACAGGCCAGTCTGACAAAAATGTTAAAATATTGTTTTCAGTTCGGTTACATTGACTGAGCTGATTTCACTACACGTCTGTAATCAGGGAAATAATCATGTGTTCAATCAATGACTACCTGTCAAGTGCGGGTTGGGCTTGGTTACTTTTTTCTTTTGCTTGGACGTCAGGTACAGTAGATTGCGATACAAGCTGCACTCTATTTCTACTGTATCTGTGCATCGCCAGGTGCTTCATAAAGTTTGTCGTGTTTCTCCCTTTACACAGAATAGTATTCAAACATTTGCTGCATGTCGGAATCCTTTTAACGTGAAATACAGCCACACTTTAGACTGTTTAGCTTTAGGCATTTTGTTGCCGTGTCAACTTTAGTTTGAAGTAGCCACTAGCTAACTGTAGGCTATGGTTTTGTGCTGCCAGAGCCATGTGGATAGTGTGATGCCAGTTAAGTGTAATGTTAACTATTCATGTTGCCTGTAAGCAGGACAACAATTTCAGTGCTGAGCTCAGACAGGGGAATCTGCATTGTGATCCGCTCTGGTAGGTACCGGCTGTATAGGAACCGCTGCCCGGTTGACTCAGTGTTTTGGTACCCAACCCTAAAGATAAAGATTAGGCCTGCGAACGTTAAAGCTCTGTTTTATTCAAGGTGAATCATTCTACTCTCACTAGTTTGACAATGTCAATACTGTTTTGATCTGCCAGAGGTGCAGAGTCAGATAATTACACATATTCCACACGATCGCCTCCACCACAAAGATCCTGAGGAAAAAGGTGTAACATGCAATCTCTCATGTAGACTTCAGAGCCTGCAGCAACACATCAACATACACCAACACACACAGTTCATATGTGAGGCTGTGGGATGGGAATGGGATTCTTGCTCCTTGTTCAGACTGCTTCACTCTTGGTGGAACTCCCCTGGCTTTCCCCAACTCTGCTGCTCCTCAGGATTTCATGCTCAGTGTAAGAGTGTCACTTAAAGCTTGAACTTTCTAACCAGCTAAGTGACAGATGTGACATAGTGCTGCCATGAGCATTCACATTTGCATCGCAAAGAGCTCCTCCATCATTTTACATTACCTGTCTTTGGAGTCTTTGTGTCTCGGCAGATTAAATCCATAGCGAGAATTTTTCCACCTGCCAGTTTCCATTTCAGCATTGGGTTCACATGCTAACAGATGGTACACTAGAGAACACTTCTGCAGAGTCCCTGCTGAGGCAGCTTTTCAAATGCACTATATTCATCACAACACCTGGTGAACAAAGAGACTCTATAAACCACTGAAATTAACACGGCTTCAAAGATGTGAACGTCAAATCATTCTAAAACATTTTGTGATAACTCATTTGTATATTTCTGTAAATCAAGTCTTAATCAGCAACCGTTTCACGCCACATATCCAGCAGATGGGACAGGGCTAACTGTTCAATGTGTGTAACCTGTCAAGTACCAATGTCAGCTCCTGCAACAGGATGTGCTTTGACCTGGGAAGCTGCCACCAAGGGAAGAAATTTAGTGCAGCGAATCAGCCCTGCTGGTTTGCCCTCAACTGACAACGGCTCTGCTTCTCACGCCTCTTCTTATGCCTATATGCAGACAGCCTGGTGGTACCACTCAATGGATGCTTTAATTACCAGAGATCAATAACGACAACAGGAGTTTCAAAAAGTTAAAATCAATTCACTCTATAAAAGTAAACCAATATGTTATGAGGTCTTCCAATAACAGAGTTTCACAGCAGTCATTATGTTAAAAACAGACAAAGAGGAAGAAGAAAAAAACATGATATTTTGTGTGATCCCATTGGAAAGATAAACCAGTTCATTACACTGTTTCCAAAAGAGAATCCAGTGCTAAGAAGGTTTCATTTTAATTTCTGTACAGCACATTCTTCATTATGAAAAGGTCCACCGCTGCGTAATCCCCTTTCATATGAATTAGACTGATATGCAGCTAATTGCATCAGTAATAATGTTCAACAGGAAGTAGACCGACATTCATACAGTGCAATGAAAAGTAAGACTGTGGGTCAGTGGAGTGGATGGGCGCACAAGGAGTTTGATCATATTCACTGAGAGCAGTGTCTATCTTCATGCACAGATATGGTTGAATTGATTCTCTTCACCTTGAGTCTCTTTAGATTATATGTCCCTTAAAAGCTATACAGGATGTTATTTCCAGCTGTACAATTACACAAAGATGACCAGCAGGAGCACCTATAGACCCACAAGTTGTACACTGAACGCACCTAGAAAAGATGAGCAGGATATCCACGTTTGAATCTACCATGTGGAAATGAGACTCGTGCTCAATGACTTGCTGCACCACTACTTTCATTCATAGGAGCACAGTGTACCATTGACAGAAGAGTCAGGTGAAGTGGAATATAAATCAATGTGTGGTGATTACTGAACTATTATCTTGTCAAAAACATATGGTACTTGATGAAATGTAACATATTGTATAATTTCACCCACTTGAAATGACTGAAGCTGTGTCAGCGCTGTGGAAAATGGTCTGACTGAACCAAGACAACCTTGCAAAGTGCAAATACCAGAATGCATGACCCCTGCAAAATAGTGTTGGTATTTGCTCATAAGGGAGGTGATCATTGTCTTTAAAACAGAACAAGACAGAAACAAAACATGTCTACTGCATGTTTGGACAATCCAAATCTTCATCAAAACCTGCCATTTTTAACTTGGAGGTTGTTTTTGTTCATGAAGCAATAAGAATTGAATGGCAGATTTATACCGACACTCTACATCCAGTATGAAACCATTTTTAGCCCTGAACTGCAGAGAATGTCCTCACAATTGGGTACCTACTCTGTCCAGAGTTTGCCTTTGCCTTTCACATGAACAACGCAGCAGGGAATTCTCCAATTAGAGGATTTCATAACACTGGAATCTCTGAAGGGTTCAGGTGAGGGGTGGCGCTGCGGGCAGAAGCAGGATGTACCGTAACACTTGAATCTTGTTTTTCTAAATTGGCATCATCATCACTGCCCTCTACGTGTATGACAGTTCCTTTTTCATCCTGAGATATTTGTAATCTTTTTTTCAGTTTTGTGTCTGTCGCGTTGTCAAAATGTAAAAAACACTCACTCATTAGGAATTCCCCTCGGAGAACCTCATGCTGTGTTCTCACATGACCATGCATATTTCTTGATCAGGAAATGCGATGTATTGTGGCATTCCTTGTGTCGGTCTATGAAAACAATCCTGGGTATGTGCTGTGAAAACAATTGACTTTTTAATGGTTGTTCAGGTGTTCGCTTTGTCCTTTTGAAGATTTACACTTTAGGCAATGAAACTGGATTAGATTACTGTATTGTGTTGGAGCCTATAATTCTGCACCTGCCTACAGTGCCACTAAGCAGCAGCAAGGCTGTGACTGGTCATTCAGTAAATGGGGACAGCTCATTAAATTTAGGCACATAGATAACTAGAAATTAATTAAAGTTGTGTGTGGGCTGTTTATCAGTGCAGCCATTGCCGAATCCCTGCTGTCTGCTCAAATGCCAATGAAAACACATCATCTGAAAATGGGCATTTTTTAAATTACAGAAGTTTAGACGACAGAATAACCGTGAATGAACTCTCCCAGGGGTTGGTATGTTCTGCTCTGCAATGGGTAACAAGTACTTGGAGACATTTGTAAAAGCAAGCAGTGAGGGGGAGAGGGAAGCCATAACCTTCTGTGAGATTTATTTGGCATTAGGGTGGGCAGAGGATGATGAACAGGTCCACTGAGACATTAGCTAATGTTCAGGTTTGCTCTGGAGCCTGGCCCTGTCTGATGAATGTATATTAACTGCTGGTGAGGAGTAGCGACAAACTAATATTTATGGGAAACATGTCAACATTTTATCAAACTTTACTGGGTTTAAACTCCTTTTTTGAATCCTGTAAATCTCTTCTTTTCCACCTCTCTTGATATTTGTACTGTCTTGTGCACCATTGCACAAGAGTAACTCCCTGTTTAGAAAAGTCTGAAATATTTGATGAGTTGCTTAAACTTCTTCTGATGTTAAGGGTCAGACTGATCAATTAGTTTGACCTGTGATGCTCTGTGTATCATCAAAAGTGGGTTTTTCATCTTCCCACCACATCCTCTCCTGAACGGCTTCTCTTTGTGGATGATAATCCATCTTTGATTTTCAATAAACCCTCATTACGATCACAAAAAATGTCTGAGGCAGTGAGTAGGTGTTGCCTACTCTGCATATTAGTGAGGGTTGGTCAGTGCTGCATTAAGAGGATTAACTTCATCGATCGAAATCACAATACACACAAGAATTATTTTGTTTAGATGATGAAAAATAAAAAAATCCCACAAAGTGGATCATAGAACTACAACAGAAAATGGACTAATACAAATGATCACAACGTAATG